TTAATATCTGATTATCAGGATTCCTTTTAAGTTTTAAATGGAGTTTATCACGATTCCTAAGGCACCGTAAAACACCAGGCGTAATCCAAGGCTGTAAGTGACGTTTTCTGTTAGGTATTGTAATTGTTTTTTTGTTACTATTAAATGCTACTGTTATTCTATTTATCAACGCTTCGGTAGCGATTGTCGGATCCTCAATAGTCAATATATCCACAAGGTTATTTTTTAAGTCGTTAAAAGCTGAAACGTAATCAGTAATAACTTTAGTTTTAAATAAAACTCGGTTATGTTTGTATGCTAGATTTAAAAGAACCGTTGAATGATCAGTAGGAGCGTTATTAAGTACAATTGACTTTGCAGTTTTAGTAGTTTTGAGCATCATATGATCATAACACATTTTGTCGCGAGTAGGTATCCTATGAGCTGGTAAAATTCCGTGAAACGCGAGTGTATTTAAATAATTAGGGCAGCTAGGGTCTATACTATCATGTTTAATGTCTATATTGATATCGCCAGTTAGAATAATGTTCTTGAAATTATCAAATCGCTGAAGTAAAGTTTGAAGTGAAGAAATAAAGTCATCCGTATTTCTTATAGAAGGTGTACGATATATACCTATTATCACCGTGTCCGGAATCGTTAGCACTAGACAAGAAGAATTTTTTATACAATGTTCCGATACGTTACAATTAAGATTCTTATTTACATACATGATTACTCCGTCACAGCGATTTAAAATATTTTTGGTAAAATACGAGTTATAATTGCTATTAAGAGTAGGTATGGGTTTATCATTTGATAAATGACACTCTGTCATAACGAGTATATCAAATTCTATTTTCAATGATTTTAGTGTTACTTGAAAAGTGTCAAAATTTTTATAAATACTCCTTATATTTTGTGTCAAGATATTGAGATGATTAGTTTGAATAATATGGGAATAACATTCGTCCGGGTTACACGTTAATGCCTGGGCAATTTGAAAATTGTCTATATCTGTACTTGTTTGAAGCGTGTTAACCATTATTATATAAGGTTGTTTTGTCAAACAATAAATAACCGTGATAAAAGATTTGAGAATTTGAGGTTACAGTTAAATGAATATAGCACGTATAATATAAGGAAAGTAACACAAGAAATCTAACAAAAACCAAATAACTTTCACATAATAAACTTATTAATACGAAATAGGAGTGTAGCAGTGTAGTATGAATGTGAGAACGACTTGAGTAGTTGTATGTATGGTATGTATAGTGATGCGAGTTAGTGTATATGAGTATTATGTGTAATTTTAAATATGTAGTTAAAGTTACAATTATTGTGATGTAGAAAAGTACGGTAAAGTATATAACAAGATAATTCCTTATCTGATACAGAAAGCGTAATCTATTTAAGGTCAACAACATTATTCTTGTATGAAATGATTCTAATAAAGAACAAGTACTACGCTTTAAGAAATATCTTACATACTGGCTGCAAAGTATCGCAGGGATACGATTAGTTACAATTGTTACATCACATTTCATATATCGAGATAGGTTACCGTTGTATATACCACAAACATAGAAACATATACCATGAACACAAACAAAATTATTATGTAAGAATAGCAGTAGACACAATTGTTTGGTAATAATACAAGTGTTGTAATATATATCTCTTGTGTTTAAAAAGTTATTTTTGTGTTGAATTCTTAATATAGCAGGGATACGACTAGTTACAATTGCTACATCACATTTCATATATCGAGATGGGTATCCATTGTATATACCACAAACACAGAAACACATACCATAAACATATACATAAACAAAATTATTATGTAAGAGTAGCAGTAGACAGGATTGTTTGGTAACAATACAAGTGTTGAAATATATTTCTCTTATGTGTAAAAAGTTATTTTTATATTGAACTCTTAATAGTAAGTAGCAACAATAAAAATCGAGCAGTGCTATTGTTAGGAACGCGGATAAAGAACAAAGGTGAAATAAGTTCTTCGAATTAACAATGTATGTATACATTCTAGCGGTATATTGCTTTCTATTTAACACACCGATGAATATGATAAGTTTTCTAAATTTATTTATATACTCCATGATTGATAACATATTTAATAAGTGAATGAGCCGACGTAGAATGTATACATAAGCATGCCAGACGAAAAGGAAGTGACACATAATTAAATATATATAAAACCATCACAACTTACTGAGGTCTTTCTCGGAACGGATGTACATAACAGGTGAATTGTCATTTTTACGCACTTGTATGATAGCATTTTTAGTCCACACATATCTGTATTTATCGCGAGCTATAGATCTTGTTTTAGAGAATAATAATTTATTGCGTAAGGTGAGATGCTCTCTTATGTAGACGATGCGATCTGATTGTATTACGTCACTGCCTGACCTCGAAGAAGCGTTGCTTGGTCCACCCGCAGCTATGAGTTGACCCGCTGTTAAGCCACGCCGAACACGGGATGCAGCGATGACGTCATCCCTCAAATGCTTCGTATTAAGTTGTAATATGATATTTTTAGGTCTGTCTGTATGCGTATTATGAGCAACGCGGTGTACTGCTTTAATGGATTCAGCGGGAATAACAACGCCGAGTAAGGTTCCCAGATTTGAGACTAGTTGCAACAGGTTTTCGTTTTTCCGTTCAGGAACATTCTGTATCTCAACATTGCAGAGTCGGGATTTCTGCTCATTCTCATGAAAGTTATCCTGCAGGCTCTGCAGCTGTTCCTTTAGTTTTAAATTCTCCTCAGTTAAGTTTGTAGCGGTAACTGAAAGCTCAGATATATGCGTCTCTAACATTTCACACTTGGATGTCCATGCCAGGACAGATTGTGAAAGTTTGTCAATTTTTTCATTAAGATAATTTTTCAAGTTTAATATGTCAGCTTCCCGTTCGTTCCGAAGCTCCTTAAATTTGGAATCAATATACGCAATTAAAGTATCAGTATCGATCCTTGTCGGAGATGAAATGTCCTCTGCACTGGGTGTGGGCGAGGCTGCAGTCTTTTTATATCTATTTCGCCTACAGATTAAGCACTTCCATTTGAGTCTGTTCATTGGGAGTATCTTTCTGAAATCCACTTCCTGCATACCCGCGCAATAAAAATGATATGAGTTCGAGCATGCCGCACACTTAAGCAGATCGTTCGAATTTGTAGTTTTATCACACTTATGACATTCCATTTTGTAAATAAAAAATATATAAAGTTATCCAATTATTATTTGTGAATAACGTTATGACCTTTATTCTTCTTCAGATGTCGTATTTATAATCACAGATAAGTGGGTAGAATGATTATACTTTACGAACTTGCTATTAATGTGATATTGTTATTTGAATATAATATTTGATTCCAATAGTTGATGGTAATGATTTCCGGTATAAAGCACAAGGAGTTATTAGCACTTCACATACAAACTTCAGTATAAACCACGGATTTTTGCACAGTCACAACAGGTGATAAGGTTAAGTTGCGGAGATGGTTTGAGATTAAGTTGTAAAACACTCTCATGCACGACGAAAACAATAAGTATACAAGTCCAGATCACTTAATTGACAGTTCATCACTTTATTTGTGTATTTAACCGATGAACGTATTTTTATTTGTATAAAAAACCAGAGAGATATAACACCGAGATGTATATACTAAGGCGCCTCAAACGCAACTGAAATGTATGTATGAAAATATATTGTTTTAATTAAGATATTTATATTCCATACAACAATTATCAATGTAAGAATATACTAAATGTAATATATAGTCACAAATTTAAGCACTATTATCAGGCCATTCGACCTTTTTGGCATTTGGTTGTACGTGAGAGTGTCGTGTGAGTGCACAATGGACCAATTAGGAAAAGGTCCGATGATACGATCAACACGTGATATATCGAAATCGTGTTGTAGGCAGTTAAATGACAAGAAAAATATTGTTATAGCAGCATTATATTTGAAATAATATATTTTTCGTAAACTTATATTCACATTTATATGTATGTTAAAATCGTAAGCACTGTAATTCAATGCTGAACAAATATGCTTTTAAAAGGTTTAATTAGTATGGTAGAATGTAGTAGAAGAAATAAAAAGGATAAATAGAGTTTTGACTGAAATTCAATTTTTATCGTATGTAGATGTGATGACATGAGATTTACACTTAGCAGCAGTAAAAAAAACAAACTACATATTTATATAACATTTACAATTGAAGCTTGAAAATATACTAAAGTTATAACTATAATTACTGCAAGTAAACAACTGTAGCATTTTAGTACACATTATTGAAATTCACTTATAAAATAACAACTTATACTCATTTACAGTTTACACTCGTCATACAGAGAAAAATTAATATATCACATGTACTCGTAGTTTAGTTCAAGTCGATATAATTTAAATAGAGCCAATTATTTCAACAAAACAATACTTTAGCCAAATATAAACATATTTATCTTTGAAGTTTATTAAAGTAACTTTAAAATGTACTTTTCATTTTTGTTCTCTAGGAATGTTCTTAAAATAGTTTTGCAAGACTTTGAACGTTTCAGGTACCATTCAAACTTTTCAAATCTTAATAGAAAGGAAGGCCTTTAGACTTGATTTTATTTAGACACTATTGAGAATATTTAAAAACGTGATATTTAAGTACTTTCTTGAGAAACGATAGGTAACATTATCTCAAGCCCCGTGGGCATATGCGTGTATGTGTTGGTATGTACATATATCCTAGATATTAATTTAATATTGCTGATGTCAACTTTCCAATGTTTCCTGTAAACTGAAGCATTAGAAAAACATTTACAACAATTATCTTAAAAATACCTTATATATAATACCTTCGCCTGATATTGGGTTTGAATAAATTACAGGATATTTAATATACCAATTAAAATTAGGACACAATAGTTTGGAGTCTTCCCTGGTCTCTCTTCGGCGCTATTCTTCGCCACACGTGTCAATCGCAAAGGCTAATCATCATCATGTCATTCCCAGCAGCTTTGATGAAGCCGCGAATAACGCACCGATTAGTAACAGACGGAAAGGCTCTCAATCCAGTTGTAGAAATAGCAACTTTTGATAGGCAAGCATTTTGGGATTCTAGTATTCCATCTTGGGAAGGTATTGAAGGGAAGTGGCTGGTTCAGGTATTACCTGAACAAATTTGCGAGTTGAAAAGCTTCAGCATGTCTAATCGTAGAGGAGTGTGGGTATAGTACCGTTAGCGTTGTAAGCCCGCGGCCGTGGTTAGAATTACGATCTTGCAAGCTTAATACCAAAAATAAGTGAATTGAAATAATACCTATTAGGTCTTTTTTTTACGTCCTAATAAATATTTTAAATACGTTTGTAATGATTTTAATTCTAAACAAATATTTACTTTTGACATATTTTTTTTCAGAATTATATGTATTAATTTTTAAGATACGTTTTCAGCACCGGAGTGCTCAAGATACATTTTATTTATACTCTAACTTTAAGTGTTCTGTAAGAGTTAGTAGTTTAAATTTTTTTAATGTTCTACTTTATAGCTTCGTGCTCATCACTTCTTGCAGATTTACGAACGATTTAAAATTCAAAATTTATGTTGTCTGAAGGTTTTAGCTTAAATAAATGAAAAATAAAGAGATAGATTTTCGCGGGTATGATTTTAAATGAAACTAATATTTTTGGATTATTACGCGCATTTTATTATTTTTAAAATTACATGTTCCCCAAATTCTCGGCACATCTCCTTTACCTGTGATTATGTTTGCTGTAAAGTAATAAAATACGCGTAGTAATCCGAAAATATTAATTCATTGAATAGAAAAATAAACAAGACATTATAGAGCATGCAAGGTATGAAAGTATAATATTATGGATTATGGGTATGGGTTTCAAATGAACATATCAAGACTAAAATTATATAAATAGGCGTATTAATAAACCTTATTGGTGATGGTTTAGTCTTATGCTTCGTTCCGTATATCAAATAGAATAAGGAGAATTAGAATATAGCGGTGATCATATTGTTAACTAGTTACACTTGTTTCCTGGGAATAACTTTGAATGATAGTAGTGACAGACAGAAAACCATGAAGAGAGTTGAAACAGGTCTTTATGGTAAGATAAACCAAATTAAAAAATATTCACTCCACAATCCTCAACCTGTTTTTATCTCTCCATAACATTTCAATCTGAAATTTTCATTGAAGTTACAATATACAAGAACGTTAAATAGCGGTAATATTTTTCTTGTTATTATTGTATAAATTAGTTACTTAGAACGATATCCAATCCGATTTTACAGTAAAAAAGTTGCTGATTCTGCGGATTTATAAAAAGTCACAACTATAAAGGATTTCAAGTCAGTTGTGGCCTAGTGGTTAAAGGGCCCATCTCTTGTGCACGAGGCCGCGGGTTTGATCCTGGCAAGTACTAATGTGATTTTTTCGAGTCATATGTACTTTCTAAGAGTATTTAGACACCACCGACAGACGGTGAAGGAAGACATCGTGAGGAAACCTGGACTTATAGTTTCACAATTATAATTTTGAAATCACCAACCCGTCTTGAGCAAGCGTGGTGATTAATGCTCAAACCTTCTCCGTGTGAGAAAGAGCCCTTTGCTCAGCAGTGGGCTCGGATAGGTTGATGATGATATAAATTTCAGGAGACAAATTGGTTTTTAATAAATAATATTTCAATTACGTAATTCATGATATTGAATAAAATATCTTCTACTGTTCTGCTAATTTTACATGTTTATCAGCTGCCTGTAGATATAGCTTTTCTAGTTGCCTTTATTAGTCTTAATTTAGGAAACCCATTGAATTTTGTAATCGCGAAGAATTATTTGCTTTTTTTACAATTTGTTTTTATTTTTATCTTTAGTACCAAAAAGTACATGTCTACAATTTTATAAAATCTATGCAATCGCAAAACTATGTTATAATAGATACACTAAAAGATAGGTCAGTGATGTAATAAATTAATATAAGTATTTCTGTCAAATGATGACGGATTATAAATACAATGTTTAATATAATTTTAAATAAACTAATTACATTAAATAATAAAAATGTGTTTCTAAATATTCTAATATATTATAATTATATAACGGCATAAAACTAACACTAAACATTAGTTAGTGATTTATTTTCACATCCCTATTGTTACCTGTTACAAATACCTGAAAGGCTAGCAATTATAGATATATGCAAAGTTCAAATAATAAGCTATTTAAAAGTGCGTAGTTTCATCCGAATATTAGTAAACAAAAAAAAAATTTCCCTTCAGAAGTAAAGATACTGAGATAATGATTATGAAATTTAGGAATAATAAATAAAAATAAACTTACATTAAAGTGAATGTACATAGTAACACTTTGTGGTTTTAAAACAGTGCTGCTTCTGTTCATTGTTTCTGCCCAATTGAACATTTAAAGCAAACGCTCCCCTTTATAACACCTTTTATATCTGTTACCAGCAGATATATTTATATTTTTACTCTCATTCTGAACAATATATTTGTATACAATTAAAATATTCTATTAAATTATTCACTGGAAGAAATTACAATAGAGAACTGCAAATGTTATTGGTGCCTTTCTAAATTAAATTGCAATTTTAAATAATTGTCTCAGTATTTGATATCCCACAAAGATATAGCTTCGATTCATATATATGTGCAAATACCCACCTAATTCGTGACTGTCGCCAGCACTGCTAAAATCTGAATGCGTTCCAAATGGCTCTTCCAGATCAGAGGAATTTAGTAAGGTGGGTAAAGGTACTGAAAATACTTGCTTTATCTGCGGGAAGGCAGTACGTGCTAAACATTTGATCGTGGGATGTAGGGTACTCCTGGATAGAGGTAAACACTCGTGTCCTGATGATAGGATTATGAAAAACTTACATGAAGCGGTTAGTCTATCTGCAGCCAGCTAACAGCTAAATCTCTCTTACTAAAAGACTTGGGCCTGTCTAGAACTAATATGTAATCATTCTCGAAACATATTTCGAAAACAGTCTTATCAGGCACTTTTCAATTTAGCTAGAGAGAGGAGCTTGGACGGAGGTGAGCGTTCAACGCGCGTTAGATAGAGGCCCCTTAAACCTACACCGAGGTCGCAAGATCCAGGCACTGTTGAAGCTTCTCTTCTTACATCGCGATAGACCCGGCCCCACCACGATGAATACATAAAATGCTAAGAAGTTTCGTCTCTAAATTATATCTTATCATCAAGTTTATGTGATTCACATTTTGAAGTTTTATACTTTTTGTAATTTCTATGCTATGTTTAAATCATGAATATTATTATGAAAGTTCAAAGAAAGTATTTACTGCAATAATACATATTTTGTTTATATTATTTTGTTTGTCATTAAAAAGAATAACGTGAACACTTTGCTGTATAAGTCGTTTACAGAATACTTTTTATCAATACCTTCAGCTTAGAATACTTTAAGGAATTATATTCATTAATATTTTATAAAACTCCATTTCATTTTTATAGCTTATATCGGTCCCTGTTAAGTATATTGATTTTCTATATATAAAAAATGGAAAAATATCCTATCTTTCAACTTAAGTAATTTAACTCTTCGACTGTCTTTCATATCGTCATAAATTTTATGACTTTTTGTGATGATAAATGAAGCGTCAATAATAAAATTCTCTAAGACTTTTCCGTATAAATTTTATATCGATTCCTCCATTAAATATATTTTTTCTTTGTTTTTTACTTAATATTCTTTCTTTATAGACTATTTGAATTTTATATAACCTAAATTTGATAATAAAAAGTGATTGTATTAAAACATTGACTTTTCATTATTTTAATGAGAATTAAGTATATTACGATAAGTATTAATATGCATGTGCTGTTCCTTTATAATGATAATTTCATTTAATTAATAAGTAATTTTGCTTTAAGTGAATTTTTGTATGAATTACTTATAATATTACTTTTTCATAACCTATTAATATTATTCAATTAAATAATTTTTACATACTTATGATTAATTAAAACTCATTTTTATCTAGATTCATCAAAAAAGCGTCTACTATAGTGAGTTATTTTTCAAACAAAACGTAAATAAAATAAAATTGTGATTTTTAAATATGACAATTTCATACATGATATTATTTCTATAAGGTTACTCAATATTTTTGTAAATGTCTTTATTCAATTTTCTACTAGTATTATACGTTTGGATTGTTAAATTAAATTTTATAATAAACTATATTAGTATTTTATCGCTTAATTTAGAAAAATCGTCTTTCTAATAAGATAGGCAATGAAGATGAAATAAAATTCAATGTTTAATTTACGAAATGTTCCTTCTAGACTAGAAAAGGGAACGATATTTATATATTTCTATAGGTGGTAGAGCCTAGCCGTAGTCAGTTACTACAGCTCGAACATGGGCTGGCTCGACCGGGGAAGTACCACCCTCTCACAGAAGATCGGCGTGAAGTAGCCTTTAATGGCTGCGTTTCGTTCGATGAGTGAGAGAGCCGGTTGCCCTTTCCCTATTCCCACCCTTTCCTACCATTTCCTTATTCCCGCCCCTCCCTATCCCTAAAAAACAAGGTTGGCAACGCATCCGTAACAAATATGTTGCGGATGTCTATGGGCGACGGTAACCACCTTCCATCAAGTGGGCCGTCGGCTCGTTTGCCAACTTTCACATAAAAAAAAAAAAAAAAAAAAAAAAAAAAAAAATATTTCAATTATCTATAAAAAAAGTACTTTATTATTTTATAAGCGTTATATATACTCCAATTTTATATAACTAAGTATTACATAAGAGTATGTACATATAGTATGTGGAAGCAGCTTATCAGAAACCTGAAGCATCAATTTCGCATAAACGGCTGAAATCCTGAGCTCTTAGCTTTAACCATCCTATTAATTAGTATCATTCTTAGCTGTAATGGGCTTAATAGGCTTATTACGGAGATGTTAGGAGGTTTAAAATTCGAGACATCGTTCTTAGATTATATAACTGGTATACTTATAACATTAAGAAAAGGGTGTACCATTTTATGGAATAATTGTATTAAAATTAAATATAAGTATATGTTTTTCAATTTCCACCTAAATCGTAGCAAGTAGAAATTAAAATTAAGTTATAAGAGAGGGGACGTTGGTTTTCTGTTTTATTAAAAGTTAGATAATTGTGACTGAAGTTAATATTTAAAGGAATAATTATAACTTACAATGAAC